AGAAAAACGGATGCTTAGATGTGGAACAACAATGAGGAGTATTAGAAGTTGTTAGCATTCAAGAGAAGTACATTAAACTCAAACAGGAATAAGATTCCATATTCACTAAAGAGGTAAATGTAAAATTTAATCTAAAGGAAATGTCATGTGCAAAATGTGTACAATAAAGAAAAGGATGACAAAAGGAAATATAATGAACTTCATAAAGAGATAATAATGCCAAGAGAGAATTGTAGAAATTTACAGCACAGAAATTAAAGGATACACCTGACACGCCTGTGCTTGTCCTTTGGTGGAGCAATCCTGTTTGGTCTCTTATCCTCGCTTTTTACTCATAAATCTGTGTAAAAGTCCCATCCTCTTACACTTGTCCAACTCCTTTTCAAAATTATTTATGGAATTGGCTTTTACCACCAATTTTGAACTAGTGTTACAGGTCTGAACAATTTTGAGTGAAAACATTTCTCTCATCTCCCCTTTGGATATTTTGCCAATGACTTCTTATTTTTTACTCCTTCATCAAAGTGGATAAGTGGTTTTCTTCTATCTACTCTATCAAAATCTCAGCATTTGAAACTCTCTTGTGTCACTTTTTATCCCCCTCTGTTACATGGACAGTAGACATTGTTTACTCGACTGTAGTAAAGCCTTCAACAAGGTTCCGCATGTTAGACTAATCAGTAAATTTAGGTCACATGGGATTCAGAGTGAGCTTGCCAATTGGGTACATAATTGGCTTAACAGCAGGAGCCAGTGTGTGGTGGTGGAGGGTTGTTTTTTGGACAGGAGGCCTGTCACCAGAGGTGTTTCACAGGGATTGGTTCTGAATTCTCTTTTGCTTGTCATTTATATAAATGATTTGGATGAGAATATAGAAGGCATGCTTATTAAGTTTGTGACAACACCAAAATTGGTGGCATAGTAGACAGTAAAGAAGGTTTTCTAAGATTACAAATGGATCAAATGGGTTAATGGGCTGAAAAATCGAAAGCAGAATTCAATCTGGATAAATGCAAGATATTGCATTTTGATACAACAAACAAGGTTAGAACTTAGACAATTAATGGTAGGGGCCTGGGTAATGTTGTAGAACTGAAGGACCTAAGGAGTTCAAGTGCATAATTCTTTATAGTTAGCATCACATATAGATAGGGCACACTTGCCTTCATTGCTCAATCCTTTTCGTATAGGAGTTGGGAGCTCATGTTGAGGTTGTATGGGACATATAGGATGGATATTATCAAGCTGGAGAGGGTTCAGAGGAGATTTATCAGGATGTTGCTGGGTATGTAAGGTTTGAGTTATAAATGAAGGCTGGATAGGCTGGGACTTTTTTTCACTGAAGCATGGGAGGTTGAGAGGTGACCTTTATAGAAATTTATAAAATTATGAGGAGTATAAATAGGGTTAATGGTAGTTGTCTTCTCCTAAGCATGTGGGATTTCAGGACTAGGGGCCACATTTTTGAAGTGACAGGAGAGAGATTTTAAAAAGACATGAGGGGCAAATTTTTTACATAGAGAGTGGTTCACTTGTGGAATGAACATCCTGAGGAAATAGTGGATGTGGGCACAGTTACAACGTTTACAAGACAGTTGGATATGAACATGACTAGGAAAGGTTTGGAAGGAAATGGGCCAGGAGCAGGCAGGTGGGACTAGTTTGGTTTGGGATTATGTTTGGCACGGACTGGTTGGAATGAAGGGTCTGTTTCTGTGCTGTATGACTCTAAGAGCAGTCTTAACCTGTTCCAACATTTTTTCATAATTGAACTCCCACATCCCTTGGAAAATCCTGGTGAACCCTCTCGGTACACATTTATAAAGTTTTAGCAAAATTAATTTGCTTTTATGTTTCTATTTAACAATTTCTAAATCCAAGTAACCCGTTCCTTTGTAACCATCTTATCAACTTATTGCATATATAGTATTGAGGCATTCTCCATCCTCATTTTTTTTTAATGGTGCTATTTGTGGTCTACATCTTTCCACATTAGTCCTCCCAAAATGTATCACATCATACACCTCTGCATCTAAGTTCATTTGCCATGCTTCTGCCTATACCACAGTGCTGTCTGTCTTCCTGAAATCTATAATATTCTCATTACTACATAGTGCATTGATCAAGGGTGATATCATCTGAATTATGAAATGGCCATGTTGAAAAATGTAAAAAATATTTTAAATTTTGTTTTAAAGATTGCACAAGTAGTAAGTGGAGACTTAAGATAGAGAGGGGGCCATGAAGAGGTGAGTATGGTAAGCATGGAGCATGGGTTGATACTGAGTCAATACTTTTCCTCACTTTGTCACTAATGAGATGGCAAAGAGGAATTCGGTATTGTAGAGATTGTGAAGAAGGCTGTTGCAGTGGTTAAGATAGCAAGAACAAAACTGAGCCTAGATAGATTATGTACGTAAATATTTGAAGGGAGAAGATAGCTGAATCACTGTGAACCCATATATGAATAATTATTAGAAAAGTGTCCAAGAACTGGTGGGCAGCAAAGCATTGCCTAACTTGAAGAAGGGAGTTAGGACTAATCCAGGATACTGCAAATGAGATGTCTTAACATTTGGAGTAGGCAACGTATTAGAACTTTCGCTAAAAGATGAGACAACAAAATATTTAGATACGAAGAATGTATATAGACATTGATTACTAAAAGAAAGGCTATGTTAACCAATCATATTGTATTTCTTTGAACAAGTTGAGCACCAGAAAGCACAGAGGATTGAATGATTACTATCATCTACTAAATTAGAAAAGTTACTAAATTAGATGACTAAATTAGAAAACAGGGTAGGAGCTATGGAGTGTTGCTTAAAATTGTAAGTTGTAAGCTGCAAGGATCCATGCTGTTGCTTATCTTATGTTTAAATAATTAGGACTGAGAAATTGGTAGATTCTATTAAAATTTTCAGGCAACACTAAATTGCAGATTTGGCTAATAATGTGGATGATTTTCGAAACAAGCATAAGCAGGCCGTAATGTAAGTTAATAAAGAACAACTTAATTTGTATGGGGCACAGTATAAGATGGTTTACTTTGCTAGAAGGAATGCAAAATGCACTTGTTCCTTGGAAGATAAGAAATCAGATGGAGTCGTGGAGCAAAGTGTCCTGGGAATATATTGCTAGAAGTAATAGCATAACCAGGTTAAGTGTAAAGAGTGCAACATAATATTGGGGTTTATTTTGAGAGGAATTGAATACAAAAGCAAGGAGTAATTCTGAAATTTTATTGAAAATTGGTAACATTTGGAAGTACTTTGATTTAATTTGATTTATTGTAGTCACGCATACAATGAAAAGCTTTGTTTGCGAGCAGTCCAGGCAGATCATAATAAGCAAAGATCATAGGGTACTTTGACAGAGTGAGGCATACAGGTTATGCTGCACAGGAGGTACGCGAAGAAAGATCAACATTATTTGAAGTTAGAGTGTCCATTCATCAGTCTAATAACAGCAGGGAAGAAGCTGTTCTTGAACCTGTTGTTGAGGGTGTTCAAGCTTCTGCCTCTTCTGCCTGATGTAAGAGGTTGTAGGAGAGCATTATCGGGGTAGGAGGTGTCTTTGTTGGCAGCCTTTCCACCAATAAAAAGTGTGAGTGGACTCCATGGATGGGAATTTGGCTTCTGTAATGGTCTGGGCTGTGCACACAACCTTCTTACGGTCCTCGGCAGAGCATTTGTGGTACCAGGCCGTTATGCACCCAGATAGTATGCTTTCTATGGTGCATCTGTAAAAGTTGGATGAGGGCCCTTACGGATATGTTAAATTTCCTAAGCCAGCCCAAGGATGAAGATGCGTTGTTGTGCCTTCTTGACGATCGCATCTATGTGGGAAGTCCAGGACAGGTTGTCGGTTATCGTCACTCCGAGGAACTTGACACTCTCAGCCTCAGCTCCATTGATATAGATGGGGCGTGTTCTCATCCTTTGTTTCTGAAGTCAATGATCAGTTCTTTTGTTTTGCCGACACCGAGAGAGAGATTGTTGCCATTGCACCACATCACCAAGCCCTCTATCTCCTTTCTGTATTCTGACTCATCGTTGTTTGATATCTGTCCTTCCATGGTGTGTCATTAGCAAACTTGTAGGTGGCGTTTGTTCAGAACTTGGCTACACAGTTGTGAGTGT